TTATTGGCCAAACATTTATAATTAATGTAAGCCTCGGTGTGTTTGTTTGAAAATGGCTGCAGGACATGAAAACTCCACCTGCAGTATGGTTGCTCCCATGAAGCAATGGAACCATCTTTTCCTTCCCTTGAATCCCAAAGGACTGGTGACTGCTTCAACCAACTAGAAGTGTCACTGTGGGACTTTTGAGACTAGATGATGCAAGGCCATGAGGACCCCACCTGGAGCACTCAGTCTGGGACATGAGATACCAGCTGCTCAGGTCTGGTAAATCCTCATGACTGGTGGCATCCCAGTGATAAGAAGATTAAGGGTGATTGTATACTGGCCGAGGAGGCCAGAAAGCAGGGAAAGGTCCGCCTTGTTCTTGGGATCCTGTGAGAATGAACCTGATTCCCGTGAGAACTAATCTGATCCCGGAAGAACTACATTAATTCCTCCTGAGAGCAGTGCCTTAATTACTAATTACTTCCCATTAGGCTTCATTCTTAGAGGTTTTATTACCATCTACATTGTCACACTGGGGACCAAGATTCTAAACATGAACTCTCAGGGGATACACTGAAACCATATTCAAACCAAGCATTTGCCAATTGAAACCAAATAGACCATTAGCACCTCCTGGGCACTACACACATCTAGAGAGCTGAGTGCCAGCTCCTCGGTACCTTTGATAGGACTTAGGGAAAGAGAGTTATTATTTTAGAACTATTGGTGACTTCATTAATTCAACAAATAACTGTTGATCATGGCAATGAATCTAACCTTGAGCTGGACACCAGGCACGGTTGTATCCCAGGTGATCCCACTGTCCCTGACCTGAGAGACAAGGACTAAGGTGAGTGCATGATGGGTAGTTACCAGCTGAAGGAGGAGACTGAATATCAAACAAGATGGAAGGGGAACACCAGCACTTGAGGTTGTTTTCTGATATAACCGCCCCCCACTACCGCCATCACCATGTGTGCAAACACCGGCTCCAGCCTGCAGCTTCCTCTTTCCTGGGTGGACCTAGACTTCTCCACTCTGCAGGAGGCAGAGGGGCAAATGTTGGCACAGAAGAAACACAACCAATGAAAACCTTGCCAACCTTAGTCCAAAACGCTAGTTATTTGTCATGTCCAAGAAACTGGGTAAAAGCTGAACTCTGAAATCCTAGCAGCTCCTAGAGGCATTTGAAATAGGGTATAGGCAGCTGCCTGGGGACTTCCTGTCACCACTTACTACAATGGCAAAGCCCAGGCCTCCCTCGTAGGCAAGGTGGTGCCTACCTTAGCCTTATTACAGATTTATCTGACCTTACCTATGGCATCTGTATTTCACTCATTAGTAGAAAAATTATGATAGATAGTTCATGACAGAAATAAGAAAGTGTTGGAAAGTGTCTTGACCAAATGAATGGAACCTCCCTTAGGGATCTAACTGCAGAACATTAAGTTACTGGGATTAGACACAGCTGGGTTGAATCCTGGCTTTGGATAATCTCACCAAGCCTTGGTTTCCTCATCTGAAGTTATGTTGTCCACCTTATATGGCTGTTGTGTAGCCTAAGTTACACACACACACACACACACACACACACACACACACACACACACAGAGAGAGAGGGGTGGGGGAGAGAGAGAGACAGAGACAAAGAGAGAGACAGAGACAGAGACACACACACACACACACACACACACACACAGAGAGAGAGAGAGAGAGAGAGAGAGAGAGAGAGAGAGAGAGAGAGAGGGAGATCAGATTTGGATTGTGTCATTTTTGCAAATAGTGTAGTCTTCACAGCATTTTTCATGCACCCATTTTTTGTTGTTTGTTGTTTCACAGCAGCGCCTCTGGCCCCGATATTCCCAGAGCCCACTTCAGAGACAGAGCTTCATCCAGAGGCAGACTAGGTGAAGAGATGCAGGACGAAGCCAGGTGGTGTGAGAGCTCAGTGGCTGCAGCATTGTTTATAAGATGGACCTCAGGCCATCTGCACTCAGGTGGCTCCCTCAGAGATTTAGGCAAAACCCCGAAAGCCCAGAGCAGTTGTAGCCTCTCTGTAGACACTCCACCTTGGTGTGCAGCTACCACAGCTATTTCAGATTTCCTGGGACAGCTCTAACCTGCTGTTGTCTTGTAGTCCAGACACTGGACAGAAAACAGGAAGCATAAATTATACTCAAGGGCTTCTTGGGCAGATATGTGACAGAGTGTCTCCATTTGTATCTCCGCCCCTTGAAGGAGCTGTTCGCTTTTCAGCATGGCGTCCATTCAGCTGTTCCTTCTCTTTCTTATCAGCACGACATCCATTCAAACAATCTTCCCTAAGGAGGGTGGAAGGGAACTGATCATGGAAGTCCTCTGCTCTGGAACAAGCACCAAGTCACAGAGGGCAAACTCGAGGCTACAGAGTTCAGAGACTTTGGGTTAAAACAGACCTAGGATCAAATTCCCACCCCTACAGTTATTAGCAGGGTAGCTCCCTGCTCTTTCCTCTTTGCTTTGTGGGTCTGATAATGCCTGCCTCACGGCATTAGTAATAATTAAATGTACGGCATGTGCATTTAACATATTTAATATTTAACACCAGTACCTGGTATATGGCAGGGCTTCAGTACTCTTGAGCTTTCAATATTGAAGCACTCAGAGCAGAGACAAATCTACATGTTCCCAAGTAGATAATTGTCACAGTGCATCAATTAGAATTGTTAGTGAATGACTGGAGGGCGCAAATTGCCCTGTGATCCTATCTGGCGAGGCTCAGGATTGAACATGAAGAAGTGTTTTACTCAGAGAGAATTGTTTGCAGGAGACCATGATAGCCACCAACCCAAAGAAACAATGCCATCTCTGACTAGAAAAAAAAATCAAACAAGCAAACAAAAAAAACAAATACATTAGTGCTTCAATTTAAACATCAATAATAAAGCTGGTTTGGCAATGTCAAGTTACAATCAACTTCTAAATATTGACGTAAAATTTCTGCTTCTTACTGGGCTTACACCCAGTGGCACAGTACTGAACCCAGCACGACTCTCCAGGCATCGATCTAAGAGTGCATCCATACATAACAGTGACCATGATTTTCTTGCTTCTCTTGCTTGCTTTGGTGGAGGACTTGTTCCTAGCTGTCTGCTGCAGCACCTGCTCTAGAACATCTCATTTTGAGACTTAATCTCAATTCTTCTTCGAAAAATGCATGGGGTTTGAAAACTGCCAATATTCTTCTAGCTTGAGTTGCCAATCAAGAATTTATCCCTCGACTCCACTGCAACTAGAAAGAGTGCATATGTTTCTCACGTCGCAGACTTTATGACCTGTTATCATTTCCATGTGAAACGTCCCCCATAGGCTCATGTTTGAATACTTGGTCCCCAGCTGGTGACACTGTCTGTGATGGCTGTGGAACCTTTAAGAGGTACAATCTTACTGGTGGAAGCAGGTCACATGGGGTCCTTGAGGAATTTTGTTGTTGTTGTTTTCATTTCCCACCCCTCTCCCTATTCTGGTGAAGCCTTCTTCCTTCCAACAAGTCGTTCTCTTACTTTCCAGTCTCCTTTACATGTCACCGACTGCTGGGGTCTACTTCCTGCTCATTCTCTGCTTCCAGACTGTGGCCATCTGGCCTCATGCTCTTGCTGGCATGTGTTCCCACTTTGGTGGGAGATATCCTTGGAACTGTAAGGCATAATAGACTTATTATTATTGGGGGGGTATTGTTTATTTGATTTGTTGTTGTTGTTTCTAGTGCCGTCGCTCACAAAGCTGTTGAGAGATCTAAGAGGGGTGTGAGCTGAAACCTGCCTACCAGGTCCCAGGAAGTCCCAGGAAAAGAGTAGTGGGGGATGGTAGGAAGGGAGGCTGAGGAGGAGGAGGAGGCTTGAAGATTGAGCTTCAGGACCCCTCAGCACGCTCGTCTCTCTGAGCGCAGGCCAAATTCCATTTACTGTAAGACATAAGTATTAGTGTTTATTCAATAATATTTTAACAAATGATATGTATAATAATAATAAATATAGTTATATTATGAAAAACTGTTTCCCTCTGAAAGGCAGAAGTATGGACGGACTGAGGCTTCCTCTATGAAGTGACTGATCCTTTTGTTGTTGGTTAAAGTTTTGATGTTGAGAATCATTCGAGGAATTTATTACAAATAATTTTCGGAATTACATGGATCTAAGCTAGGGATGTTGTTACCTGTTCTGCCTTGGCCCCTACAAAATGTTGTCTGACCTCAACTTGCTTTTGTCACCCAAATGGCCTCAGTTCCAACCTCCAGCCTGTCTTGTGACACTAGCCTGAAGTCTTGCCTGTCAATCGGGTATTTGCATTTTGATCTGCATCCAGAAGTGCAGCACAGCAGAAACAGCTTCAATTCCACGTCTCCACCTCCCTGCTAAAGAGATGCGGCTTCTGTTTTCAGGAGCAGTGATGTGGATTCACTGATTCCTGTGTGGATGACGTAGCCCCCCTCTCCACCCTTCCCAGGGTGCTCTATGTGGATAAGGTAGCTCCCCCTCCACGTTTCCCAGGGTGGTCTTGCTAGGTGCCCATCTGCTTCTCCTTTGCTTTCTCTTCAAGTATACCAGGAATTGTATCCTTGAATCGTGCCCTACATATTCCCACCCCAACTCTCTCCCTTCCAAAGCATTGTATGGGTCAGGTTGGCTTTAACAACAACACGTTAACATCACAGGTGTGTTCTGCTTACACAAGTCTTCATTGGCTTGAAATCCCCAGATAAGAAGAACCAAGCTCCTGAACAGGCACTTAAGACCCTTGCCACTACTGGCTCAGCCACTTCTACAGTTACACACACACACACACACACACACACACACACACACACACACACACACACAACCAGAGATGTAGTCCACTGCTGATTCATGAGTCAGGCCCAGTGTGTACCTTGTCTCTAATGAGCTGGGACACTGAAACCTTTCAGAGGGAGAAGGAGAGTGTCTCATTTTTGGAAGCTTCTTTTACGGATAACCTTGCCTTCCATTTCTAGTGATTCTGTCACCCACATTGTGGCAGAGAACAACTCAGGATCAGATGTCCTGGAGTGGCTCCAGCTCCAGAATGTCAAAGCCATCTCTGAGCTTGAACTCCTGGACGTCTCCTGGCTGATTGAATGCATGGGAGCAGGGAAACCAGTGGAGATGACAGGGAAACATCAGCTTGTTGTAAGTGTCTCCTTTGCTGGATGGCCACCAACATGGCGTCAGCATCCACAGACTTGGGTTGGTTCCAGGGTCTTTTCTCATGGACTCCACTTAGCTCTGTTGGGCTTCCATTTGCTCCTCTAACATAAAACCATCATGCCCACTTCTTCTGATGGTGTGGGAACTGAAGTGAGCTCATCAAGTAAGACGGCCTGCACACATAAATCATTCACAGTGTTGACACGTTACAAGCACCAAATAGATGGGAACTACTTTTAAAAAATAATTTTTTAACTTTTTAAAAATTATTTGTTTATTATATATACAGTATTCTGCCTGCACCAGGTCTCATGACAGATGAGTGTGGTTGCTGGGAATTGAACTCAGGACCTCTGGAAGAGCAGCCAGTACTCTTAACCTCTGAACCATCTCTTTAGCCCCATAAGTGAACAATTTTTTATTATTATTTTTTTTGAGACAGGGTTTCTTTGTGTAACAGCCTTGGCTGTCTTGGCACTAGTTCTGTAGACCAGGCTGGACTGGAACTCACAGAGATCCACCTGCCTCTGCCCCTGAAGTGCTGGGATTAAAGGCGTGCGCCACTACCACCTGACTAAGAGAACTGTTATTATGAACACATTCATGAACAGATTTTTTCAAAATAGTTCAGCCCCGATATTCTGGAAGTCAAAAAAGATAAAAGTTCCTATTTTTCTCACTCTGACAATTCATGAAAACAATTAAAGAATATGAGTTCTTACATCCAAATCCTTGACCAATAATGCTAGAACCTCTGAGAAAGGGGCTTAGACCATCTGTAATAAATTCACACAATAAAGAAAATTATCATTAATTGCTGATTCTTTCTCATTTTTGTGATTTCAAAAACACGTATACTGTACATATATGAGATGACACAATGAAATTCACTATCAAGTGTAATTAATATATTCTAATAAAAAGAACAATCATACACATGTCTATGATAGGACACATTTTGAGTCCTCTGTGAATTTACTCTCTTCCAGAGACAATTGCCATAAATTGTCTTCAAGTAAGTGTTTTCTTTATACTTGAGTAAATATTTATAGTTATATACACTTATTATTGGCATTGTCATTCAAAATGGACGCTTATGCTTTTGTGTAGGTGAGAAGAAATTCTTCCCCGAGTCATGCTCCAGGCTCCCAGAACATTCCACCACCTGCTGTGCAAAAGATCTCCCAGTATGCTTGTCAGAGAAAGACCACGTTAAACAACTGTAACCAGTTGTTCACGGTAACTAGGCCTTCTTAACACCCAGGGCAAAGGGGAGCGGTGGGGACTTGAGGTTTCTTTCCATGAGTCTATCAGTTAAATTACGACTTTTCTGGAAATCTGAGGATGCTTCCCCATGTCTGCCTGCCTAACCTGACCTCTGGTTCTCTGTCAAGTGGGCCTCCTTTTTCATGGACATGCAAAAATATATTCAGTTTATTGACTGAAGACAGGCTCAGCTGCTCTGGGGTCAGGGTTTGCCAGGGTAACACATTCAGTAGAGTATCAAGCAGAGGGCTTCTCAGCTCTAACTTGCAAGCCCATCTGTGCGGAAGAACAGGAAATGGGTGGCAGTCAGCGGGCCCACTGAGCCACAGCTGCATTCCCTGCTGGTAAAGAAAACATGAGTCACCTTAAATAACCTCTGTTCTGGGTCAGTGTGATGAACACACACCCCTTCATTCCACAAGCATTGGCCGTGTTCTATGTACAAGCTAAGAGAACCAGATGTCTGGGGATCATGACAGAACCCTGGCCACTGACTGTTGAGGAAGACAGCAGCCACGACTGCTGGGGACACCATGAACACCAGGTCACAGTTTAGTTAAGTGGCTTTTAGATGTCTAATGATGCTAAATTCAGTTTTCTTATAAGTCGTTAGACACCCGTCTTTTCCGTTAAATGACAGTGTCCCACAGAGGAGGATGCAAAGGTTCAGGAGGCTGATCCTTACTTCAAAGGTACTCCATTAGTAAAAGGGACAGGAGGGACTTGTGAGTGACTCTGACGAGCAGACCGGCTGATCTGGTTTTGTTTTTTTAGGATGCCTTTGATATCCTGGCTGAAAATTATGAGTTTAGAGAGAATGAAGGCTCTTGTGTGGCATTCATGAGAGCAGCCGCTGTACTGAGATCTCTGCCATTCCCCATCATCAGTGTGAAAGACACAGAGGGGATTCCCTGCCTAGGGGACAAGGTGAAATGTATCATAGAGGTAAGGGAGGAGTGGCATTTGCTGAACCTCCAAACAGGTAAGGGAGAGACTGAGGAGATCACATAGTTATGGACTCTCTCCTCCTACTCACTATAGCTAGACCACCATAGCCCAGAAAGAGAAAGGTAGAGATGTGTAGAATCCATAATCCAGCAAGATCCCAGTAGGACTATGTGGACCCAGCTAGTAGGGACAAGACGCCAGCCTCAGAGCTCAGAGTTTCCGGCTTCCAAGACAGACTGAGTGAGAAGCTCAGTGTCACTCAGGACTCGTCCTGCCAAGCACAAGGTGATGCTCATTGGGCTGATTCTGCAGCTATAGTGTTCTGGGAAGAGACTGGGCGGTAGTTGCATGTTTAACAATATTTAAGGATTTCCCAGCAAGGCAAGTTTGCTGTCCAGTAGCAAGTTTCAATCTAATCAAATGCAAGATACATTATTCTAGAAAAAATATCCCAGCTCAGATAACATAGGCTAGACCTCATAAGGGCGTGATAACTACTGGCTCTTCAGTGGGCCAACAATTAATCTAATGGATTGAAAAGTCCTCTTACTTTGGTAAGCAGAATCTGTTGATAAGAAAATTGTCAGGACTATTTGGACAATACTTGTCAGTGAATATTTTGTCTTAGCTTCTATGGATTCAGACCCTCATCCCTCTGTGTCCTTGTTCAAGATTATAAAGGATCTTTGTGTCTATGGTCAACTAAGAGTTTTCAGGAATACAGGGAAATCCTTGCTTTCTTCAGACCAGCCAGGGAAACTCCCCAAGTTTTGTGAGAAACCAGCAGCTGGGGCTGTGGGTTTAAGACTGACATGACGATTATATAAGGACATAACTCAAAATCTTTTGTTCACCCTCCATTCAGGGAATTATTGAAGATGGAGAAAGTTCTGAAGTCATAGCCGTGTTAAATGATGAACGATATAAATCCTTCAAAGTAAGAGGTTTTACATTTGATTACTGGGGAGTTGTTTTCTATTTACTCTCTGTGGATGGCTATATTAACTCGAGCTGCCACACTAACATGCCACAGACTGAGAGGCATAAATGGAAATGTGTTCTCTGCTGTTCTGGAAGCAGAAAGTTGAGGTCAAGATTCTAGATCAAGGTTCTAGGAAGGCCTCTCTTTATGGCTTGCAGTTGCCTACTACCTCCTTGCTGTTGCCCTCACCTGGCAGAGATAGAGGTGAACAAATGCATGGGTCCAAGTTTGCTTGCTCTCGGTTATTTTTCTTCACTCCTACACTATTATAGTAAGCATGACTCCATGCTTAGGGAATGGCATCTCCCACAGAGGGCTTCCTACATTAATTAATAGCCAAGCCACGCCCACAGACATGCCCACAGGCCAAAGTAGTATAGGTAATTCCTCATTAAGATTTCCAGGTGATTCTAGATTGTGTCCAGTTGACAGTTAAAACTAATAGCACACCTCCCAAAGACCCCATGTACAAAGACAATCACACTGAGGATTAGGGCTTCAACATGGGGTGCACAACTTAATCCATAACAGAGTCCCAAGAAGCAGACACATGAACAAACAAGGTGTTCCAGTTTCCTTCCATATGAAGAAATTACCTACCAAGAATCTGTTTTGTGGTTACAACTGTCAAAGGGACATAAGAATATGAATAGAGCAAACCTGGTCCAAACTCATGTCCTCATTGCATCTTCATTTCTGGGACTCGGGGTTGATCACCTCCCAGTTTCTCTGACCTTGGAGTTTCTGGTACTTTGGCCAGTTCCTTTAGTTCCATAAGTGATACAAGGCCTAGTGTATAGTGAGAACAGGAGCCCAGGCCCTAAGTACAGTTTAAGCCTGTAACCTGCAGTTACCCACTTATGGATTGGGTGAATATGTGGATCCTCCATGAGCACCCTCCCATCAAAGGCATGCTACACGATAAATGTAAGAGACTGAGCACCCCGGAGGCAGCTGGAGAGAGAACAGGCAGTCTGTCACCTAGGTTATACTGAAGCCTCACACAGGTATTGGTCTGCCTCTCACCTCTGTTTCATTTTGTGACACTATGGCTGTGAAAGGATTCTCCAGCCTCTTAAAGTTACCATCCCCAGGATCAAGAGAGAGCTTAGTGAAGTGCTGAGAACCTGAGCAAGAGCCTCAGAACCAATATACAAAAACAGGTGTGGTGAGTGGTGACCTGCCTTTTAAAGCTCAGCACCAAGGAGGCAGAGACAGGCAGATTCCTGAAGCTCATTGGCCAACTGTCCCAGCCTGAGGTTGACTTCCATTCTCCACATGCAGTTATGTATGCTTACACATACTGTGCAAATGCACACACACACACACACACACACACACACACACACACACACACACACAACTCATTCTCTTACTGTTTTCAAGAGTAACTGAAACAGTTTTGCTGTATTTCTTGTCCATATCCTGAGACTTTGGAAAGTGCCACTCCATTGTCATAGTGGTGACAGTGATGATTTTTTGGAACTAACAGCCTGCCTTTCCCTCCCTTTTAGCTCTTTACATCTGTGTTTGGAGTGGGGCTGAAGACCGCTGAGAAATGGTTCAGGATGGGTTTCAGAACTCTCAGTAAAATCAAGTCAGATGAAAGCCTGAGATTTACAAGAATGCAGAAAGCAGGTAATGGAATTGGGAAAGTCATGGGTCGCTCTGGGTTTGTCAGGGTAGAGTGATACGGAAGCCACTTTTACTTGGACTCCAGCCTTGGGGAGCCAGGTATATCTTGTCTCCAGCACCCGTCACTGAGTGATCTGGTTAAAACCTTGAGCCTTTGTTACCTCACTGATGAATCTGAGATAACCAGGGAATGCCCTGAGCCTGGCCTAGAGGAAGGCTTCTTCCTGGGCTATGATCACCTTTATCCAGGTATCATACCAGGATGGGAACTGTCCTGCTCCCTGCAGCCTCCTCTAGACACTTGGGTCTGGCTGGGTAAGAAACACGCAATGGAGAGTTAAGGACAGAGGGAGAAGCTGACAGGGAGGAAGGAGAGAAAGTGTCTGAGCAAACTACACTCACATGGGTTGGTTCACACTGTGAATTATGTGCTAGGGACTGGAAAACAGAAAAGGGAGGCAATATAGACACAGCCTTATCTGCCCAACCAGAGCCCTGTTGCCTAGGAAGAGACAGCAGTGCAGTGTGGAGATGGAAGAACTGTTACCATCACCTGGCAAGCCCCCCAGACCCTCCCATGGTGGCCAGGTCACTTCCTTCCATGGACTGTGCTGGTACCTTTTCCAGAAATGAAGAGATGTGATTCATAACCCCCCAATGTGTAAGATTTGTTTGTTTTTGACATGCAATAAAAATAGGGTAAATCTGTCTTCAAGAAGGAGTTACAGCCATAATTCCAAGCACTGTAGCTTCTGGAGTTATGGAGAATGGTAAAGTTATCAAGTTTTTAAATATGGAAGTATAGAGTCTTCTAGCAGAAGATACTGGGTATGTGGGGGTAATCAACAGTATTTATTTTTAGTTTACATATATGGATATTTTGTCTGTATGCATCTCTGCACCACATGTGGGTAGTGCCCATGGAGGTCAGAAGAAGGTGCCAGATCCCCTGGCACTGAAGTTACAGATGGCTGTAAGCTATCATCTGGGTACCAGGAATCAAACCTGGGTCCTCTGGAAGGGCAGCAAATGCTCTTAACCACTGAGTCATCTCTCAGATTTGCTGATTTCTGAATGATTTCGAATAGGCTTTATACAATGCCACACGGAAAATAAAAAAAGTCTAAGGAAAAAGATTTAGTGTTTCTACTCTAGACCCAGAAAGTACACATCTGGTAAGTATGTTTTACACCGGCTCTAGAGCTACCTTTAAGAAGAAATGTGTGTAATCATCAAATGTAAGTGGCAAGGAGATGTATTGGAACGATAGTGAGGACTGATAACACTCAGATGGGAAGTGGGGAGCAGCATCATATTTCACTCAGAGAGCCTTGAACTTGTGATCATTCTACTTCAGCGGCTTGAGTGCTGGGAACACAGGTGTGAGGTGCTAGCTGACAGCTACACTTTCTTTAAAAAATCATAACTTCGTGTTCATGTACATCATTGAGTGCGTGAACATAGGTAATTCCGGGTACCAACTGAGTCCTACCTGAGTGCCAGTGACGATGGCAATTTCTCTATTAAAGCCTAGTGCAGTGTTGCTCTTTAGGACAAACTCTTTACACACACACACACACACACACACACACACACACACACACACACACACAGCTATATCCCAATAAAAAGTTGACTGCTAACAACAAAGCTAGAAAAGACATCAGTATTCATATGAAGCCAGCAGTTCCTCAAGCATCTGGCTTGGTAGGGATAGGTGATGGGGTATTTACTAACATGAGCATCTTTTCTTGGTCCTGTCAACGTGTTTCTGTAACCATCCCATTTAGAGATGGCTTTGAACCTGGGAACTTTGTTTACAGTGTGCTCAAGCCAAATGGCCTCTCGGCCACCTTTCATCCTGGGGCAAGAAACAAGGAGCAGCAGGTTTTCTGTGTCTCCTTGTGCCTCTAGAGGAATATGTCTCCCATTTGTCAAGTGGCCTTTGGGTAGTCCTTTTGGGAACTGTCAATGAAAGTGCAGAGTCTTTTATAGAGGCAAGAGTAATTGTCAGCAGACTGACTGCCCCCAACACACCCGGCTGCCCTCCAGCACCTACCCCAATCCTTGGAGCTAAGCATCTTTCCCTCTTTGCCTGCCTCCTGCTGGCAGACACAGCTTATTGGACAAGAAGGCTGGACATGGTGCTTCACACATGTAATCTCAGCACCTGGGAGGCAGAGGCAGAAGAATTAGGAGTTCAGAGACAGCTGGACCTTGCTCAAAAAAGAGGAAGAAAAGGGGAGAAGGAGGAAGAGGAAGTGTTGGCTCTTTGTCAGATAGGAGGAGTTTGGATTCCAGAAGGATTTGAATGCTTTTCCTTTAATAAGGACATTGTAGACCTCCCCATGAGAATTCAAAGCTCCACTGTAACCATAAAGAGCCCACAAGCAAATGGACCAGATAACTCCATAGATTACTTCGCTCTGTGTAGAGTCTGCCCATGCCTGGGAGCACGGGTTGAGACAGCCCCCTCCTGCATTAATGCCCGGTCATCTTATGTGTGCCTTTCTCTTCACTGGCCTGCCAAATGGCCTCTCAGGATTCCTCTACTATGAAGACCTCGTTAGCTGTGTGAACAGGGCAGAAGCAGAGGCCATCAACGTGCTAGTTAAAGAGGCAGTTGCGGTGTTTCTTCCAGATGCCTTGGTCACCATGACTGGGGGGTTCCGCAGGCAAGTGATACGGTTGTTTTACCCCTCTTCTAACTGCCTCTGAAATGGTGCAAAAGGCTCTTTCTGACCCAGTGCCAGCCTCTCTCTCTGCTTCTTTGACTCCTGTCCCATGTTTTATTTTGGGAGCTCCAAACGACGTGGCGTCCCTTGTACACACAGTTCTTGCCTCTGTGACTTCGGTCAGAAGAAATTTTCTCTACAATTTTGTAAAACTGGCTCCCGTCTGTCTTCTCATTCCTTAAGACTCGATCTAGATGTTGCTTCAGAAAGCCCTCCTTGACTCGATCTTGCTCTGTGCTGGATTAGGGACTTTCTTCCATGTTCCCAGATGTCGGATACACCGAGTGAGTTTTCTTTATGGAGCTAGTGGGGTTTAGTTCCCATTGAGACCAGGGCGTGAGCCCGATCACAAAGCAGGTACTCAAGGCTTTGGTGAGTCAGTGAATAGCTAAGTGAACTAGTCTTCAGAAATGCATGTAGTCAGTTGGATACTAATTTAGCCTCTGTATCAGAAAGGGGCTCATCCCTCCTGCCCCCCACTCATCCTTCCTGGTACCTTACCTGGTCACTTGGATCAAGGAGGACTAAATCTGAGAGGATTTCCCTGGACTGGGGCTGTCTCTCAGTTGGTGGAGTGCCTCTTATTGTGAAGGAAACCCTGGCTTGGATCCCCAGCAGCCAATAAACCAGGTGTGGTGATGTCACACCATTCAGATCCACCTCTAACCCCAGCACTGGGGAGGTGGATCTGGAAGGCAAGAATACAGGGCAATCCTCAGCTTCATAGTGAGTTCAAAGCCAGTCAGCACCATAGGACACCCTGCCTTTTAAAAAGGAGGGGAAAAAAGACAAAGAAAAATCCCTAATCCACACCACAATTCCAAGAAGGCTACCTTGTAAGGTATGGCCATAGCTTTTGGTTGGCTTCTTATTGTCATACATGTTTCTCTCTCTGTGTGTGTACTGGGTGTAGAAGTAATCTTTGTTACTTCCTTCCCATCCATATACAACAATATACATGCCACATATGGCTTTTCTGACACAAATTTGTTTTGTAAGACATAGAGTTGTACAACCAAGAAGAGCTGGTTTAAAAATATTGTGAGCATTTTGCATAACAAACCTCACACTTGGGACACAGAAACAAAGGGAGTTTGTTTTTGTTGTTTTGTTTTGTTTTAAATGAAGGGCTAAAATTCGAATTGATTTCTATTTTGTGTTTCTTTGAATTAGGGGTAAGATGACTGGGCATGACGTAGATTTTCTAATTACCAGCCCAGGAGCCACAGAGGAAGAAGAACAACAACTCTTGCACAAAGTGACAGACTTGTGGAGACAGCAGGTAAGGAGACCAAGACAGATGCTTGCCACTCAAGACCCTCTTACCACTGCTTTTCATTTGTTTCTTTTCTAGTGTGTGTATGTGTGGTGTGTGTGTGTGTGTGTGTGTGTGTGTGTGTGTGTGTGTGTGTGTTATATGTGTGCATGTCTAACATGTATGTGTGTACTGTATGGTATGTGTGTTGTGAGTGTATATTGTATGTGTGTGTCTAGTGTTGTGTATGTGTGTGTATGGTGAGAAAGTGTATGTGTGGTTTTGTGTGTGTGAGTGTGTGTGTGTGTGTGTGTGTGTGGTTGTGTGTTTTGCTTTATTTTGTTTATTCTATAACAAATAAAGCTTGCCTGAAGATCAGAGTGCAGAGCTACGCCATAGAGGCCAGGCAGTGGTGGTACACATCTTTAATCCCAGCACTCGGGAGACAGAGGCAGACGGATCTCTGTGAGTTCAAGGCCACCTTGTGTTACATGAAACTAAATCTGTTTAAAAGAGAAACAGAGCTCATGCCTTTAGTCCCACACTAGGGAGGTGGAGACAGGAGTGATATGGCTGGGTGGAGAGACAGGAGACAGGAGCTCAAGGCAGTCTGAGGTTTTGTAGAGATGGCATTCAGTCTGAGGATTCGTAGGGACAGGATCACCCCTTTGGTTTGAGGATTCAGTAGAGGTAAGTGGTTTCTCTCGTGGCTGGCTCCTCTGCTTCTCTGACCATTCAGCATTTACCTTGATATCTGACTCCAGTGTTTTATTATTAAGACCTATTAGAACTCATGCTACAGTGTGTATGGGTTGCCAAAGGTTATGTTGGGAATCATCTTCCATCACTCCTCCACCTTATTCCCCGAGGCAGGGTTTTTCAATCAAGCCCAGAGCTTGTTGATGTGGGTAGTCATACTAGCCAGCTTGCTCTGGGGATCCCTAGTCTCCCAGTTTCTGAGGCTGGAACTGCAGGCAGATTGTCATGTCCACCAAGCACTTCTGTGGGTTCCGGGCATGGGAAACTCGTGTCCTCATGCTTACATGCCAGTGCTTTAACCACGAGCATCTCCCCAGCCCCAAGCATTGTTAATTTCATGTGTTCCACGATCACTATATAGTGACTACCGAGTCAATTCTCAATTGTTTGTGACACCTCATCATGGCACCACACACAGCTGGCATGAGACTGACCAGCTTTGGCTCCTAGGCTGCACATCACTTGTTTGAAGAAGGAAGCTAATGAGTGTAGGCTGGGTCCTCAGAGGTCATGGCCAATAGCTACTGCTCAGGATGAAATCAAACCCATAGGGCCATCCACTGTTAATGGTTGAAACTGAGTTAAGCTAATCCCACAGCCAAAGCCATCTGACTTCTGGCCCTCTTGTCAAGCACCACTTCCTAGAGAGACAAAGGGCTCTTTCCCAGGGACCTGCAAACCTGGCTGAGTGGAGGAGGCTGAGCCTGAGTTTTCCTAGTGCAGCTTCCCTCTTCCTGGGCCAAGCTCACTGATGAGCCAGCGAGAGGACCCCAGACAAAGTAAAAACTAGAAATAGCCAGCCCCAGAGCCAAGAGCACTGTAAATGGAAACTAGATTTCAGAAACAGTTCTGAATCAGTGAGACCACACTTTGATCCCTGTCCCTTTCAGGAAAATGAGCACAGGTGACCAGAGCACCTGAGAGTAGACAAGATAAGCTCAGCCAGAAGACACTACAAAAAAGAGCCAGGACGCTTGCCCAGTGCTCTGCTCTGGGGGAGCGGGGGATGATGAAAAACTCTCACTGGCAGACCAAAGACTACCTCTCCCCCCAGGCCTGTTGCCAAGGCTGGAAACCCATGGGTGTCTGTTGAGCCCTTCTTCTCATGCTGAGACTATCTGTGACGGCTGGAGTGGAGAGGTGGCAGTTTCAAGGTATCCCTGCTGTGGTCCCCAGGCAGAGACAGGCATTATAATCCCAGGCCCTGCAGTGGGGCCAATGGTAAACCACATCTGATCTGAGACTTCAGAAGTACAATAACCAGTGGTGCAACCCAGGATGGTCCCTGACGGTTCCTGGTCCATTTCCTGTCTGTGCTAACAGGGAATTCAATGAGGGACTCTCTGGAGTGCCTGACAAATGGTAAATACCTAGCAAATGGTGGCTGTGATGATCACTGGCAGGGTTGCTTATTGAACTCTGTGTGAGAGCCAGGCGCTGGGCTGCCCCTCCCTTCCCCTCACAGACAAGGTGCCAGGCGATTTGGTGTCCCTGCCCTGGACACACCCTGGTGCCTCAGCTGTGAACTCAGCAGAGTTCTTTGAATTCGGCTTCCTCCTCAACTTCACTGCCCTTTCCTGCCATCCTTATACTGAGCTTTGCTTTACACAGGGCACAGCTTACACAGGGCACACACATGTGCTCACAGAACATACATGTATGCACATGTGTAGTATACTCACAGCTTACACATGTGTGCTCACAGAACATGCACAGCTTACACAGTGCACACACATGTGCCCACAGAATATACATGCATGCACACATATAGTGTACTCACAGCTTACACAGTGCACACATATGTGCTCACAGAACATACATGAGTGCACACATGTATACTCACAGCTTTCATGGTACACACATGTGTGCTCACAGAACATGCACAGCATACCCATAAGGTGTTTACATGTCTGAGGTGTGTTGAACAGTTCAGGGGCCTCAGTGTACTCTCCCATCAGGTGATCCATTTAGGGGTGTCCTTTGGAGAAAACCCCTGAGTCAGAGGAGGGAGAAAGGGAGATGAAGAACTTGGAAATACTGATCTCAGGGAGGTCAGAATTCCCTAGACAGGCATTCTTCCTGAATTCCCATTGTGGCTGCTGGTAGCTCACCACAAAGGCAGGGGACTACATGACTCAGGCTTGGGTTCATGCCCAGTGTGTGGGACCTGGGTACGAGGACCCTAATTGCTTCATGGAGTTCATGGAACTTCTGGGAGATTCAAATTGTTGAGAACTAGGGCATGGTGGCTCATGCTTGTTGTGGCTCATCTGAGCAATTCAGGAGGCCAAGGCAGAAGGATGACCATGAGTTCCGTTCCAGGCTACCTAGAACCAAAACGAGTTTAAAGTCAGCCCTCTGTGACCATGACCTTGGGTTCTTAATACATAGATTCAACTGATCTCGGATAGGAAGGGCTACTAAAAACCAACACACAACAAAACCAAAAACCATCCTCAGTCTCTAAACAATACAGTATGACAACAATGTATGCATTTACATAGTGTTGGGCAATTAATCTAGAAGTGACTGAAAGTGGACAGGGAGGTGTGCGGTTCATATACAAATACTCGGCCACTGTCATGAAGGACTTGGGCATCTGTGAATTTTGCTACCAGGATGACTGAGGATGACTGAGGGATGACTAGGATGACTGAAGATGACTGAGGATGACTGCCCTCACTTTGGAAAACTGACTTGAGTTTGAGTAGCTGACATTGGTTCTCCAAGGAGGAGATGGAAGGGACTGAGAACAAAGGGCAAGAAGGGATGCTGGCTAGAGGACTCCTCATTCAGCCCCCTAACAACCCTTTCTGCTCTTACACCATTAGCTTGGTGTAGCCTGTGGTTAATTGGTCCACTAAGTTGGAGGAGGTGGAGCTTCCTCTTTGTGTGAAGCAAAGTTGAACTGCCCCAGCTCCTCCACCCTCCCTACCCTGGGACTATAGGGAAGGAGCAGTAGGGAAACGCCTCCTTCCAATCCAGGACAGTCACTCGGTTTCTACTAGGAAGACAACCATGGGCACCTATGGCGAAGCCTGAGCCCACCCTCAAAGCAGTTTCAGAGGAGAGAAATCACATTGAGAGAAGTAGGGACAGGAAAGGGAATAGCAAATGGTATGAAAACCCAACAGAAAGCTGGTTAGGACGCTAGAGCCTAACTTGAGGAGGTACCAGGCTTTACTGCAGAGAGTACCAGCACCAGAAGCAACATCCCAGTCAAAGCTTTGACACGTTCAGGATCGATTCACAGATGGCCCTGTTACCAGCCAAGTGCAGAGCAGTGGAACTCCCAGGGACTGGCATTTGCCTGGTGTTCCTTTGAATCTCTTATTAATTTTCTGAACAGAAACTTGAGATGAAACAGTCATCATGGGCCTTCTCCCACTGCCTCCAAGATGGGCAGATAGTTTTCTCAGAAGCATCATTTCCAGGGCTGGGGTATACTCAGTGGTAGAATGCCTAGCTATCAAGTTCAAGGTCCTGGGTTCAATCCCCAGCACTGCACAAATGACACCAAACAGCAGAAACATCAGGTCACCGACTCCACATTGGCCTGGGCTTCCAGCCACAACCCTTTGGCCCAGTCTAAGTGATCGTCAATATGACACACAGGGGGCAGTGTGGTTTGCTTTTAAAGGAGCCAGGCTCTCCCTCGGAAGCAGACAAGGAGAGGTGGAGGCTCTGAAGTTTTATCACTGAGGACTTTGGGCTCAGTCTCTCTCATGGAGAAATACCTTTTCTGTAGAGAGAACCGGAAAACCACTTACTACATTCTCTCCTAGCTGCCGGGAGCAAGGACGTTTCCCTTCATGTCCCTTCAGCTCTGAAAAGGCTTCCTTAAGAGTCGCTGTAAGATGGCAAGCCCCCACCCACCCCAGGGTCCTTTCTGAACTCTCTCCCTCTCTTTTCAGGGGTTGCTTTTGTACTGTGACCTCATAGAATCGACATTCGAAAAGTTCAAGCTGCCCAGCAGGAAGGTTGATGCTCTAGATCACTTCCAGAAGTGCTTTCTGATTTTGAAGCTGTACCACCAGAGAGTGGGCAGTGATGAGAGCAGCCAGCAGGAAGGAAAGGGCTGGAAGGCCATCCGTGTCGATTTGGTCATGTGCCCCTATGACCGCCGGGCCTTTGCCTTGCTTGGATGGACTGGCTCCAGGGTAAGTGCTGTCTGCTGTTAGCTTTCCTGGCCCAGGGGAGAGCTGATGGCAGCAGGACAGAATGCTGGGAGAGCAAGGGAAGCATGCCCCCAAGCCTCTAAACTGGGGTATGATATTGACATATGGTCATGTGAGTCAAATTCATTTAGAACAGTTATCCCCAATGCGCGCTCACCAAGCCAGCAGCAGTGGCCTTCCTGGGGGACGGGTTAGATTTATAAACTCTCCACCCCACTGTATACCACTATATCAGAAACTCTAGGTAGCTAAGCCCAGCCACCTATGTTTGAAAAGCCCATAGGTAACTGGGAGGTATCTTAGGTAAACCCAGGAAGCAACAGAGAAGGGGGTGACCCAGATGGATTCAGGCCTTGGGCCTGCTGAAGGGCTCAGCCCTGTCCCTTCCCAGCTGAGTGATCGTGGACAAGTTTCCTATGTGCTACAAAACTGATTCGAGTGGCAACCTCAGGGGCAGCTATGCACAGCGTGCAGCAGCCCAGGCTGCAGCCTCAAATCCGTTGTAAACCATGATGCAGCTGCACCGTGGCACTGTGGCTTCTACCAGCTGCTTACGTTTGTCTGAAGCATCAGATCACGTGCATGCCCTCTGCCTCCAGTACTGCTGTAAGAAACTGGGGAGGTTTGTAAAATAAACTTTGAGATTCAAGATGCTGAGCCCTGCTCTATCCCTGGCTTCCCAGCTTCCAGGTAAAGAACACTGCTTGGACCTTCTTTAGGGCTAATAATGGCACTAACCCCACAGGGTGCTGCTGAGGACTCATGGAGACAGCGACTTCATGTTAAAACTGGAGTCTAACTAGCATCTGAAGATCTGGAGTCTAACTGGGCATCCAGCTCCTCCTTTAGGGGTAATGCATCCGCAGTCATACAGTGCAGTAGAGAATTCACAGAACAAAGCAGCTGTCCCTGAGCTGGGCACAGACTCAGGGTTCCACAAAAGCAGAGTGTTAGCACCTGCACCATAACAAGGCATTCCTGAGTATTTTATTTGGCCCTAGCCTGAGGCCATGAGATCCTGTTAGGACATATGGCGCTCCTTAGTTGTCCCTTTTAACTCAGGGTAGCATCCAAGGTCACTGGTAGACAGCCCAGGAGGGCCTGCAGTCTCTGCCACTCTTAGTCTTCCTTACTGTCCACTGCTGCTGCCCTGAATCCCCCATCTCAGGCTCTGGGCAACCCACTTTCAGGCTAAGAAGGGAGACGGTGGGTGTGGCTTGGCTCAACCTGAGGGAAAGAAGCAGGAAGGGACAATGGCAGTGACAGCTGATGTGAATCTGAGTCTGCAAGATCCAGAGGGAAACTGATTGATCTAGTATTTCTCAAAGCTTCTAAAAAATTCATAAACCAATTGTTTCCCTGGTAGATTTGGTTCCCAGTATGATGCCTGTGTGGCAGTGACCCCACCCTCACCCCCAGCAAGTCTCTGGGGCTCAGCAAAGGACTGAACTCTTGTCTTAGTTAGGGTTACTATTCCTGTGATGAAAGCCATGACAAAAGAAACTCAGGGAGGAGAGGGTTTGTTTCTACTTGTATGTCCACATCACTGCTCATCATCAAAGGAAGTCAGGACAGGAACTCAAGCAGGGCAGGAACCTGCAGGCAGGAACTGAAGCAGAATCCATGGAGGGGAACTGCGTATTAGCTTTGCCCTTGTGGCTTTCTCAGCCTGCTTTCTTTTAGAACCCAGGACCACCAGCCCAGGAATGACACCATTCACAATGGGCTGGGCCCTCCCCCATCAATCACTAATTAAGAAAATGCCTTACAGATGGATTTTTTTTGTTTGTTTTGTTTTTTTGTTTTTCCGGAGACAGGGTTTCTCTGTGTAGCTTTGGAGCCTATCCTGGCACTTACTCTGTAGACCAGGTGGCCTCGAACTCACAGAGATCTGCCTGCCTCTGCCTCTCGAGTGCTAGGATTAAAGGCGTGCACCACCAATGCCCTGCCTTACAGCTGGATCTTAAGGAGGCATTTTCTCAATTGAGGTTCCCTCCTTTCAGGTGACTCTAGCTGTGTCAAGCTGACATAAAACTATCCAGTGCAACTCTCTTGAGCCATTTTGCTTTTTATCATCTTCTTTGAGCCCTTGTTGCCTGATTCCCACAATGGCAGTCCTGCTCAGTAAGTCCACAGCAGGGCTTCCTATCAGCCCATAGTTTGCTAATTTCTTCTGTTCTTATAAATTGTCTGTGTCTTCTGTTAGACTCTCAGCTCCCCGAAGAACTGGCAGAAGCTGGTATTCTGCAGGTATTTGTTGAGTGAACTGTATCCCTCTTTACATGTCTCTGAAGGCCTTGGTCAAGGAGTTCAGGAAAACGTTTCTCTCTCCCAAACCACACAGGACTGGGAGCTGGGAGCAGCCCATCATTGACCCCGTTTAGCCAGCCACCATTATACTTCCAGTCTCTCCAGATGCTGGCAAACCAGTGTGAGCTGTGGGCAGCAGCTGCCCAGCCAAGGGCTGGTGTAGGGTGGTGGTGGGCTAAGCAGGAGCTGGTCTGTGCTATCAAATCTGCTCTTGGCAATATTCGATAAGTCTAGTTGCATCTGCACCTACTATGAAGGGCTCCTGGGTGGCAATGTCTCACCCAGCCCCAGAAACTTTCCAGCAAAGAGGAAATAATTTCTTGCCACTAGAGGGCACGACTGTCCCAGGCATTCTCACTAGGCCCAAGGAAAAAGTCAGCATTCTAGACCTGGGTTTCTCTCAGGAAAGCAGCAGCAGTGCGTGTGGTCCACTGTCCTTGTTTTGAAGGTTTGCTTGTCACTTGTCCTAGTCTTCAGATTTGCTCCCTGAAGCCTCAGGGTGTACTGAACATGAGAGATGTCCCTCTGGGGCAGGTGACTTCACAGAATCTCAGTATGGGTGGACACCACAGAGGGAGGGGCAGGGCCTCCCTCCATTCTGGGACAAAGCGAGGTTCAGAAAGTCTGGGTAGTGTGCCAAAGGACACACAGATAGGCCCAAAATCTGGGCCAAGATTTCTCCATTCTTCACCCTCTTTTATAATGATGATATTTGAAACTTAAAATGATTTAGGCAGCAGTTAGTCTGGACCAGGTATTTTTCTAGAAACAGTGCTCACACTGTCCATTTATCCAGGCAACATTATTCACACACCATCTGCAGCCTGCTGGACCCTGGCTGACAAGAGACCAAGCCAGTCAGCTTCCTGTTCACAATGAACTTTCTGTTCTAGTACAGGGACCCCAGAGCTCAGCCTCCAGACCTGGACCCTGCGAAAGAAAGTCACACCAGAATATATACTAGAAGATGGCAGTTTCAAACACCCGAGGGCACAGGGTGGCTGTAAACACCACGCACGGACAGTAATTTATTTTCATTCTCTTTGCAGCAGTTTGAGAGAGACTTGCGGCGGTATGCTACCCATGAGCGGAAGATGATGCTGGACAACCATGCTCTGTATGACAAGACCAAGGTAACGTTTTCTTCCTGAGGTGGGCTACTGACCTTTGCCCCTAAGCCCTTCACTTGAAAAGATTTTTTAAACAATTTTTATTACATTTATTTATTTTATAGAGGGAGAAATTAGTGCACATATGCCATGGTCTGCATGTGGAGGCCAGGGGAGCCAGTTCTGTCCTACCATGTAGGTTCTGGGTATCGAACTCAGGTCCTCAGCCTTGGCAGAAAGCACCTTTACCTACCCCATCCTCATTCCAACGCAAGCTGATTTTAGTGTCCAGGTCTGCTTGTCTTGGCTACAAATGTTCTATTCTCTGCAGAGAGATCAGAAAGAGCTCCTCAGATGACAGTCCCCACCTGGCCCAGGATGCAACTCTGGGCCTCCTGGGTCAGTAAGTGAGCTGATTAGGGGGCTCCAGGGCCAGCACAGAGGTGACCAGAGCTGATCTGATGATATTCCTGGAGTTTACAGCCATTTACTCCAATGAAAGTCAAGGCTCACCATGAATCCCAAGTGTTAGAGGAATCCCCATCCAATGCAGTCATGCTCTGAGTGGGTCATTAATGAGCATCTCCTACGGTAGAACAGCATGGGTGACCAGAGACGGATAGGAAGCCATCAAGCCTCGGTCACTAACCCTGGGGGACGCGCTTGGCGGTGGCACCTTGTTCAACTCATGCCTCAGAACAGTGACAAGGTACCATGTGGCTGTTGAAGGATTGACAATTCTACTGTCAAATCCATAAGCAAAAATATCTACTGTCTTATAGTGGTCAAGGACACCAAATTAGGCTTGGAGGGACAAGAAAGCATGAGATTATTAGAAGTAAGAATCTGATCTCCAGCTGGGTGTCGGTGATGCACACCTTTAATCCCAGCACTTAGAAGGCAGAGGCAGGCGGATCTCTGAGTTCCAGTCCAGCCTGGTTTACAGAGCAAGTTCCAGGACAGCCAGGGAGACACAGAGAAACCCTGTCTTGAAAAAAAGGATCTGATCTGGCCCCCAGAGGTTTATTATAGTTTAAAAGAAACTGACAACAAAAATACCTCAAGTGAAAAGAAAAGGAATATGGGTAAATACTGCTGTCTCTGGGGCAATGCAGGCTTCAGGTACAGCTACAGGTGTTCAGTGTGTTTTCCAGAGTTGTCTATGCTTTTCCCATGATTCCCATCCATCTAGTTACTCTAACAGGGAAGATCTTTTTTCTCATAGTTTTTGCATGGATTCTAACTGCTCATTGACCAGGCTTGGCTCATGTGCTCCTCTATTAATCCATTGCCATAGTTCTGCTTGGCCAGGCGTGGGTTGTGTACATCTCCCTAGAGATGGGAGCACCCCCACATCTTCATGGATGGAGGGACAAGGGAATCCTCATAGAAATTCAAGGTGCTTCTCATAGAGAAGGAGACAGTGGATGCTGGCAGAATAACCTCAGAAACTGAGAGTGTGGGTGGAGGCAGAGCCATGGAGTTCAGCAAGTGTCAGTTCCAGACCCAGGACTGTGCTATGTATTAGAAGATACTCAAGGGAAGAAGCACTTAGTCTCAAAGAGACCATGGGGTGGGAGCTGGAGGGTGGGGCCTATGGACAGGTATGGAAGACTGTAGAGAAGGCAGCACACACAGTAGCTTGCCGATACCAGCCTTTGTCCCTCTGCTGCATGTTAGAATAACCTAGAACTTTAAATAGATTGACAACAAGACCTCTCTGGAGCCTTTCATTTCATTGGACTGGAATGTGACTCAAGCTTCAGTGTATTTTATTGGGAAAAAAAAAAAACGAAGAAAAGAAATGAAAAACCTCATCAAGCAGTTCCAGAGAACAGTTATGGTTAAGAATAGGAGTCTAGGCTGGGACAATGGCTCAGTGACTGAGAACACTTGCTGCTCTTACAGAGGATCTGGTTTGATTCCCAGCACTCACATGGTGGCCCCAATGCTCTTTTCTGGCCTCAGGCACCAGGCATCAATATGGCATATAGACGTATGCATGGAAAAACATCCATATACATAAGCATTTTAAAATAGAGGAGACCAGTAGGGCTGGGGAGACGGTTCCGCTGGTGGAGTGCCTGCTGTGCAAGGTGAGGACCTGAGTTCTGATCTTAGCACCACGTTAAAGCCAGGAGTGGTGGACCTATCTGTAACTCCAGCCATTGGCAAGGCCAAGATGAGCAGACTCCTGGAGCTAGTCAGTCTAGTCAACTGTAAGCTCCTGGCTCATCGAAAGACCCTGGCTCAAAAAAAAAAAAAAAAAAAAAGTAAAATATTAGAGGGCAACATTATCCAGTGTTGACTGCTGCCCTCCACATGTAACACACTAAAGCACATTCATTCCCATACATGTGTCCACATACATAAACACACACACACACACACACACACACACACACACACACACACACACACCTCTGAATAGGGTGTGTGTGTTACAATTGTACCTTAATCCACACGTGTCATTTTCCTTGATGGAAAAGTGTCAAAACTACAGGAAGCAGTAACTAGGACTTTTTGTTTGTTTGTTTGTTTGTTTGTTTGTTTAAGGTCTCACTCTGCAGCCCAGGCTCCTGCCTCTGCATCCCAAGTGCTAGGTGCCAGGTGTGAGTCACCATCCGGGCTCCCTCTCATCTTTCATACTCAGCAGCAGGGCTGGGAGTTTCAGCTGCCACTCATTCTAACAAGCAGCTGGATGCGTCTGTGCTGAGATGCTGAAGGAAAAGTCCTGAGTGTGTGTTTGTGTGTGTGTGTTTCTCCTTTCAGAGGGTGTTTCTTGAAGCAGACAGTGAAGAAGAGATCTTTGCCCATCTGGGATTGGATTACATTGAACCATGGGAAAGAAATGCCTAAGAATGAGTTGTTGTCGACATTGCTCTCACCAGGTTAGACAAACCGTGCTTAGCAAAAGATGGCTTAGGAAAGTCTAGGATTCTTTAGGCCTCTGGGAATGCAGACAGCAAATGCATCTTATGTGTATGTACTATGCATAGAGAATATTCTAAAGCAACCTTGGAGGCTTGGTAAGCCAGCACATGGCCGTGGGTCACATTCTCAAGCTGTCTGTCCCACTGCTGCGTAGAATTCATGGTCAGTTCTTTCAATAAAAATGGTACTGTCATTGGCGCTTCAATCAGAAAAGTGCACCAAAGCCCTCCTAACCCCCGTGTGTCTGGACCTCTGTATATCACCAATAAAAATATGAAACAAAAGGCTGAAGTTTTCTTTGCTTCCTTCAGTTATTAGATTTCTAAACACAAATGGAACCATGGAAGAGAAAGAGCTTGTGGTCGATTTTAAAGAGACACACAGGTATAATTAGTACATCGAGGTTCCCTGGGGGACTGTGGATCCCTTCAGGAGTGCCAGGAGGCAGGGTGCTGACTCCTAGTTGTCTTGGCTCTGCTCTGAGCTGGTTCCTTTCCTGACCATCACTGAGGTATATCAGGGATGCGTTCTCACTGCTCTCTCTCTCTTGGTCACACAAGCAATTTTCTAAACCACAGCAGGAAAAATCTCCCTTTTCCACCTGGAGCTCCCAGAGAGACAGAGTGGATTTCCTCATCTTGGGGTGCCCAAGGCAAGGAAGCGAGTGGGACCATGCCTCACTGATCGTGCCCCCTGCTTCCTCCAGGAGGGCACAGACTAGACAGAACCAATGCCCCAAAGGGACCAAGATAATCCATCTGGGCCTGTCAATCACTTGGCCAAGACACCACCCCTTGTAAGGTAGTTTCACCTAAAGCCCTGCTAAGGAGATAGGAGGAATAATTGTACTTTTAAGTCACTGTACATGTCCTTCCCAGAAGCACCCTTTCTGTGGAGTTGCTTACAGAGCCGACGTCACAGAGCTTTGCTGCACCTGCCTGCTTTGTGGAATTACTCAGAAAAGCCTAACTTTTCCTTTGCAACAGGCCAGCTGGTAAATCAGACAGAGGCCTGACTAATCCCCCAAATCCAGATTTTTTTCGAGTATCAGTTGGTGAAGCAAGAAGCAAAGACCAAACTGCTGTTTGAGTTTTCAGTATGGAGGTCCCCTCACTGCCTGCTGCAGAAAGTTTGGGAGCCCAAAGTGCCAGACAAAACACACTTAGGTTCTGGCCAGCATCTGAGGGAAAGAGGCAGAAAAAACGAAAAGGGGAAAGTGGCACCCTTAATGTAGGGAAAAAGAACCACAGATGGTTTGTAGGTTCATTAAACGGCCATTTATTTTTCAGCTGATAATAAAATAAGGTTTTTGTACCAACAGAAATACAGAATCATGCAATTTTAGTGGAAACAATTTGAAATAAAGATTCTAAGCAATTGATTGTAAGTAGAATTAAAATAAATTATCTAAAACACTGTCATATTTCATTTTATCAATTACAAGGCTTACTGATATGTGTATTTCTTTTTTATTTATTTAAAAAATGTATTTTTGATTTTAAATAGCAACCCCGTTCCCCCTCCTGCCCCTCCTTCCATGCCCTCCACTTCCCCTTCTTCCAACCCACCATCCACTGGGGGAGGGGGAGTCAACGAAGCCTGGCATACCAAGTTGAGGCAGGACCGAGCCACCCCTCCCCCATGTGATATGTGTATTTCAATCAGGCTCCACGGGTGCCCTCTAGGGTCAGTTTTAGAAGCACAGAACTGAGGCTCTAGGTGACCAACATTCCCGGCTGGAGCTGACACCCATATATGTTGAAGTCAAAAGTCTGATCAGGTTCTCAGGGAGTCCAAGATCCCTCCCCACCATGTAAAAGAAGTTAATTCGCGGCATCCCTGGGCACAGCTGCTTGAAGATGTCCAAATGATCTTATCTAAGGAGCTGGGCCCATGAAACACAATTATTTTTTTTAATTTCAGGGGGGCTTTGAAGGGTAGTTGTTACTGGGTGGTAGTCATTGGGTTTACAGAACCATTCCCTTTGTTCAAGAAATAGGATCACTTCCTGAACATCCAGGGACCCCGTGTGGGAAAAGATGACTCCCTGGAATATCAAGGTGGCTTGTGAAGATTGTAGATGTTCCCAGAGATGCCCTGAGACTTCACCTCTCTCACTGTGAAGCATGGCCTGTCCAGGGCAGTGGCCATGCATCAGAAGGAGCTGTGACCAGGCCACCTGGAAGCCACCTGGGGAAGTAAAAGCAAAGACCTGGCCCAAGCTGGTGAAGTCTACTCTAGATTTCCCTTGCCTGGCAGGTGAGGCTATACTAACCCATCCTTTTGTTCCCATGTTCATCGTTGGTCCTCTTTATCTCTCTCCCTCACAAACATCTTTTCTTCATGATACTAAACAAAATGCCTCATTGCAAAGAAAGTCACTAAGACATGAGCATCAGTTTCATTGTTACTTCCCATTGTTATGACTAAATGCCTGATAAAATCAACTTGAGAGTCGAAAGGTTTATTTTGGCTCACAATCTGTGATGCAGTCCATCACAGCCGAGAAGACACAGCAGCAGGATCATGCAACAGCTGGTCACATGTTTCATCTGTAGTCAGGAATCAGAGAGTGATGAACTCTGTGTGCTCAACTTGAAGTCCCTTCTATTCAATCCAGAAACCCAGGCCATGGAGTGGTGCTTCTCATATTTGGCAGATCTTCTTGTTGAGTTAAATCTTTCCGGAGGTGTATTTCCATGGTGATTCTAAGTCCCACAAGTTGACGATGAAGATGAACCATCAAAGATGTCAATATCCCAGAGATTAATGTGTAATGTGTAACGCGGATCTCTGTATTTAGAATTTGAAACCTGACTGACACACAAGGACAAATGATGTTCAGAGTTCAAGTGAGTGGACTGCTCGTGACAACTAGAGTTATTTTTCAATGTCAACAGTTTGGATTGCAGGCCATGGATAAAGTTTGGAATTGATTCTCCCTTGTTGACTTTGTGACTATGGGCGACAAGTGCTGTAGAGCAATCGCTTGACTTGATCAGACAAGCGGGCTGGGAAGAGGTGGGAAGAACGAACGGGTAAGGAGTGGGAATGAATTTGTCTAGTGTCTACTACGTGGAAAACACTTGCCTTTATTCCTTTTGTAATTTTTTTCAATGCCCAAATGAAGCACATTTTATAAAACCTGAAACAGTCTTGGGAAATGTAGGTGACGTCACCAGAATTCTCACAGCTGCTCAGTGGCAGGTCTGACACAGAAGTCCCTCTCCCCTTCTCTGCTGTATGACATGGTCTAGCCACATGCTTCCCTGGGTTGGGGCATGTGTGGCTCTACGTGAGTTTTACCCTGAGATACTCAGAAGGAAGAAATGGCTTCTTTCACATGTCTTCTATGTCACTCATGTCCTAACTTGTGTCAAGCTGGCTTCAACCAACACACCCAGAAAATCCAACTCCCATAGCTTTATTTATTTATTATTTTAAGACGAGAGATGGAGCAGGCAGAGGAGAAGGCAGGACACTCAGAAGCCACGTCAATTTCCCCAACACAAACATCTCTAGATTAAGAAACAGGACCAAGTGGGCTCATGTGAATGCACAGCAACTCACCTGGGTTGTATTGATGATTAAACTGCAAGGTCCGAGGTTGAATGGACCTTCTGCAGCATCCCCTACTGAGGAAAAGCAACCCAGATACACCCCAGATCTATAAATGAAATGCTTGTGGGATGGGAGGCAGCTGGCACCTCCCCTCTCTAAGCCCAGTTCACAAGCACAGATCCTGGGGTTGTCAGCCCTGTTTAGCTCGAGTCAGCCCTCTGTCAAAGCTACATCATTCTAGGCTCAGTCTTGGCACAAGCCACCACAGCCCTCTCCTTCTCTCTATTTCTTCAGGAGGACGGTAGGTGTCAGGCAGAGGCTCCTCACTTCCAGAGACCGTCGTCACATATATGTGTCCTTGGGCACCTCGTGGGTCCATCTCATGAGTGGGTGACCGCCTAGGATTCTTGAGAAAACAGATTTTTAAAAATAATATAGGAGAGACTTCAGTTTCTGGCCACGATGGACTCAAACAACCATATTGACCCTTCCAATGGAAACACCCAAAAACCAGACCAAACATTTGAAACAATGGCTGGCAAGATAGAGGGAATTGGGAGAAAAAAGACACTGGCTCTTGAGGGGCAGAGAATGAGTGGTGTCTACAGTTGCCTGAGCTTTCTGCCTTCAAGGGTTTTTTCTTGCTACCCAACTCTGACTATTGCTGACACAGTGTCTCCAACCTATAACTTTTAATCTTTTTAAAAATATTTATTTATTTATTTATTAGGAATACAACATCCTGCTTTCATGTATGTCTGTACACCAGAAGAGGACACTAGATCTCGTTATAGGTAGTTGTGAGCCACCATGTGGTTGCTGGGAATTGAACTCAGGACCTCTGGAAGAGTAGTCAGTGCTCTTAACCTCTGAGTCATCTCTCCAGCTCAACTTTTATATTCACAAAGTGTGGTTCTGCAGATTTTTATAAAGTTGGGTATTGCTTTTATGGCCAAACTGACTCTCTGCCTTGTCATTGGAGTTGTTTAGGTCATTTACATCTAAAATGATCAGTGATATAGTTGGGTTCAAGCCTACTATCTTGCTTTTCTTTTTCACTTTTTCTACATGTTCATTCTTTTAAAAGATTTATTTATTTATTATGCATAGTGTTCTGCCTGCATGTATCCCTGCATGCCAGAAGAGGGCACCAAATTTCACTATAGATGGTTGTGAGCAACCATGTGGTTTCTGGGAGTTTAACTCAGGACCTCTGGAAGAGCAGCCAGTGCTCTTAACTGCTGAGCCATCTCTCCAGCCCTACACATTCATTTTTAATTAGTTTTCTCACGTTTTGTTTCTTATAAACTTTAGAATCTTACTAAGCTTATTGAGAAATGTATTGAGATTTACATCACAATTGTGTTTACTTATTTTAATTTAAAAGTTTTTATTTGTGTGAGTGTTTTGCCTAAATGTGCAGGCCTGATATCTGAGACAGTCAGAAGGTTGCAGGTGTCCTATAATTAGTTATAGACCATTGTGAGCCGCCATATGGGTGGTGGGACCTGAACCCAGGTCTTCTGAAAAAACAGTAAGTACTTTTAACTGCTCTCTAGCTCCATAATTACATTGATTATACAGATACTGAAAGTATCACAAATTTGACTTCTTTATGATGTTGAATCTTCCTTCCCAGGACCATAGTATATGACCATCGTAACTTAGCTTTTTTATTGACGTTTGAT